AGAGTCAGTTCTCGGTTCGGATGTTCATGCGGCAGAGGAATTTCGTTCAGCTGTCATGTCACATTAGCACAGGAAAAGAGACGAACAATAAAATCTAATTGCCGGAATCTGGGAAATGTTAGAGGTTCGCTGCTGCACGGCAGCAACAGTCGTCGTCCAAATTAAGGAAGGTGGGACACTGATAAAACGAAACACTACTAATTTACGCAGTATAATTATCTTAAGCCTAGCAGTGTCACAAGTCAAGCGAAAGAAAGAAACAAAGTCGCTGCGAGGAGGATCCTTAGAAGTTTAGTCGACACGAAGTTTGTAAAGCGAATCAACTTTATAAGCAGGCATAAGACAACCAATAGACTTGGGGTCTGCTGTTTGCCACTGGGCGGGATTATCAGTAAATCACATGTCACAGGGATGCTCTGCCGGCCACCTTCCAAAGGCCGTCCCCATGGGTGACACAAGTGTGATGCGCAAAGTTTTTATTCTTAACTCCTAGCAATTCTGAATTGTGTTGACTATCCAAATCCCGTCTTCAGGAGCATGCTCGCTGCATAGCAACTCAATACAACAATGATCACACGCCTCTTCCTGACTTACCGAAAATAAAATAAGAGATACCCAAACGAACAGCAGTGTCAACTGTTTAACCTTTTCTCGTTCTTTTTCACCGATGACTGCAGTAATACCATGTCACCGTCTCACGTCACAAAAGTCTTGCTTCTCAATATGTTTTCATCATTTTATAGCTCTCAGATGCTGGAAATCTTGAGAATGCAGATCTGGTCCCATCTCCCTTCAAGACTAGGTATCAGTCATTGTGCGATTAATAACTCTGCCTTCCAGCCATTCTTCGGATTTCACAGAGAGGGTTTGCCGTGAAGAAGAAACCCAATTATGCTGATCAACCACACAAAATCAACAAACCCGTATTGGTTAAAACGTTACGAGGTTTTCAGTTTACCGACGGTGAACATGTTTACGCAGGCGACATACTAGTCCGACAGGTGAGCTCTTTTAATCGCACACTGAAGTTGGGTCACATATGCAGTGAGAAACTTGCTATAGTTCCCCTGGAAGGTAGACCACCATTTTTGACAGTCGCTCCTTATCCTTTTGTTTTTTTCTCGGATGGAACTTTGGTCTTATCATTGGCACAGTGTAACAGATGCCGATCCGGTCAAGCACGGGCCAATTTGGAAGACACGCCTGAAATGATCATCTCTTTTAGGCAGACCTATTTTGCCTAGGGATTGCCTGTCACAAGGAAGCCACCCTCGAAATTCCCTCCATGAGCTACTAAGAAGGCCGAAAATACGCGATCCGGGTTACTGCCAGATAATAATAGTAGATGCTGCTCCCATTTGAAGTGCGTATCATGATTGTGACCCACAGAACGTGTTTCTGTAGTACCGTGTCAACCTGTTGATGTTCGGTCTTCTGAAACCCGACGTCTTGTCTTGTTAGCTGAGAATGGTAATTAAGCTCACCTTTGTAGTCGCCTATGTCTGTCGCACACCGCTTATGCGTCGAATTCGAATCTAGAGGATTAAAATTCCCGAAGGGTACCATTCTATCTACGATCGTGGGATACGCGACCGCATGGTAGACGGAGTATGATTATCTTGTTTTCACTATAGGCTAACCATGTTGGCTGCTGCTCTGCCAGGGTACGTTCGACCGGCGAGAAACTACCAAACTCCCTGTTGATCCTTTCTAACTTCCAATCAGCCTGGTAAATTACATCTCATTAACAGCTGCAAGAGTTGGCTGTTACATTGTTTAACTGCAGCCTGCTGGTTGCTGAAGTGATCGGACCGCTCCAGCTGACTTCTCGTCCGTTCACACAATTAACTGCTCGGGTCTTTGCGGTCCAGATGGCAGTAACAAAAGACCACTGAGCCTTGTCAGCCTAAACTGTCAACTTGTCACAAATGGGCCTATGGTCTTGCCTCGACGATCTATTTATCGGACATTTACTGCTGTTCACAATCACCGAGATTAGCCTCGTTTCAACCAGTCCAAGGTTATACAATTGGGAATTTACCCGTGCACATTTGACTACCACAGGTTCACTGCGCTTCATTGCAGTCAGTCAGAGGTTGGGTCAGTCGGTCCGTCGACCATGCGCCGGAATCCGGCTTTAACCATCTCCACTTGCATCTGCATCTGACCACCTTAACGCCGTCGCCAGTCATGACCCAGTTCGGACGAGGTGACACTCGGACGATTTCATCTTCATGTCTGTGCAGCCTATAACTGAACCATCTCAATCGGTGGGTAATATGGGCGCCGTTGACGGGTTGAGTCTAACCGAAAATATAGTTGGTTGGAGACATGGTCAGACAGATGAAATCGGGGGAGTGCAGGTGGCATCGACCGAGTACTCGAAGGCAGTGCAAGTCTTCTAAATGCCTTACATCTACTATGCCTTACATCCGTATTGGAAGATTGTCTCGACGCCAGTCTCGTATACTCGCCATTTGGTCCGCAAGTACAAGTAAGTACTTGGTCCGCGGATTGATCTTGCGTCGATTCCAGTGACCCTAGCACCTGGTTGGCCAACTTTCTCCGTACCTTGTAAATTTGACAGACATTCCGCTATGAGGTAGCACAAGTTGTCTACTAACCTGAGATGCTAACGATCCGCCATTACTCAATTAATATCTCCAATCGCGAGACCCGAGGTGGTACTTTCCGCTTTAGGATTTGATTTTCATGCTGACTATTCCACCCTCCGCGTCCGTCTTGCACACGGTACACTTCATTTTTGCAAGAGAGCTTGCTAGCATTCCATTTTCATGAGTATCTTTTGGGTCCGTGGTGTGTGGACCACGACCTACTGTAGCAGTGGGGCAGTCCGGCGGCGCGTACTGAAGAACCCAGCCAATTACATGGTTGAACAAAGTCGGTGAGAGAAGCCCTGACGCCGGACCCTCATCACCAACTGGGTTGTCAGACCTTGCGGGGTCTTCTACCGCGGGTAGCCACATGTGGAGAGGCATCACACAGGATTGCTCAGTCGTGGTCCACCAGGCCCGACAAGTACCGAAAGCGCGCTTCTGTCGAGCGTAGGCTGGATGTTTGACAACATGAAGTCAATTTCACACTCTGTGGTAGAGAGGTCACGGCACTGACGTTGAGTCATTTTAACTTGCGTTTTCCTCCTTAGCTTGGTCTAGAATTCTACCCTGGCGAGAACGTGAAGTTAAACCGGGACACCTGGGATTTAGTGGCTCTTCGTGATGGACGTTTCACAATCTCCACAGAGACCCTCTCACCATACCCCGATAGTCCTCTATACCCACTGGTCAAGGAGGGTCGAGAGTTGAGGAAACCCTTCGTTCATGTGGTGGCCCGCCCTGTTGAACCAGTTTTCAAACTGAAGCGCAATTTGTAATGTATTCACTCACCCGCCACAAACATCCGCCATAATATACCTTTTATCCAATGAAATTGTACTTTCATTCCATTGTGGACATGAATAAAGTGATACTTTTTTTTCAAGTTTTTATGCAGCCGATGGCGAAGAGGTCCTTTGCTTTCCCTCCTCCGTCGCAGTGCAAAGCGCACAGTCCGCAAGCAGCAGGTCATTGGCTGTAGTCGTAAATGCACGCGTTGAGGCCTTCATGCGCCGGCTGTTGAGGAGATGCCCTCTAGTCGTGTAGGCGATGTTTGTCTCGGGTTGTCCATAACAGCAGGCGTCCCTTAGCATGGCAGAGAACATGTGACTGAAGAGGGTGGGAGCGAGTACGCAGTCCCGCTTCACTCCGTTAGTCACTGCGAATGCTTCGGAGATTGTCCCATTGTCCGTGACGCGCACCATTACCCCGTCGCGGAACTGACGTACCATGTAGGTGAATCGCTCGGAACAATCGAATTTTTGCATGATTCCACACAGTCCATCGCCATTCACTGCGCCGAAGAATTGTCAAGCCCACGAAGGCAGTGTGGAGGTGGGCTCGCGTTTTCTCGCACTTATTTTGTAGCTCGCGGGCGATGAATATCATGTCAGGGGTACCGCGGTGTCGTTTGAAACTACACCGGCATTTCAGGAGGAGTTCTTGTTATAGGTGGCCGCTGAGACGGTTAAGGAGGAGGCGAGAGTAGATTTTTCCGGCGATATTGAGAAATGAAACAATTCCATGATTATCACAGGGTTGTCGGTTTCCTTTGCGTTTTTAGAGATGGACGACTGTGGCCTCCTTGAAATCCTGAGGGACCTTTCCTTAGAGCCACATCTGGAAGAGCGCTGTGTGTTGATCCAACAATCGGTGGTCACCGTACTTGTAGATTTCAGCTGGGATCTCGTTGGTGCCCGGTGCTTTCCCGCTAAGAGGTGTCAGACGGCGCAGATGGTTTCTGGAAGGGAGGACGGGATATACAGGTCGATGTCAATTTCCTCTTGGGGGAGCCAGTCTATGACGATGTCTGAGATCCTGGATGAGCGGTTGAGGACATTTCGGAAGTGCTCGACCCAACGCTTCAGGATCTGCGACTTCTCGGTTAGAAGGGTTGTTCCGTCGGTGCTGAGAAGCGGGGCGGTTCCTTTGGCTGTGGGACCGTAGACAGTCATGGTTGCTGCAAAGAAGTTCTTTGATTCGTTACGGCCCGCATACCTTTGGAAATCCTCGGCCTTGCGAGCCATCTAGGCGTTCTACATTTCCAAAAGCCGTTGCTGCACAGGACGGCGACATGAGAGAGCACAAATGTTGAATAATCAGTTTGTTTTTGCAGCTCTACAGCCCGCTTTCGCCTATTTCATGGTATCTCGATATGTCAACAAGGAGATGATGTCAACTCGCTCTCAACGTGCTATAGGGGAGGCAAATACACGAATGTCACATATGGCACATTGAAGCCGATCTGAAAAGTCACCTAAAAAGAAACAATGCATTACCAGGAAGAGCCTTATGGGTCCAGATGGACGAAATTCAATACAGACTATGCTACTGCCATGAATCACACCTTAAGAAATGTATTTAACGTGCAAGCGGTTTATCTTTTATGAGAGACATATGCGTATTTTGAGTATGCAGTCCCAAACAAAGGTAATGCACGTAGTCTTTCGAGTTTCAGTCCCAACATCAATAAAGTGTACAAACATCCAGGTTAACATTGATGAGAAGGTAGGTATAGTATTCGGAAATTGGTAGCAATAAGTTACAGTCAAGAAATCCAAACTACCCACAAGAAATGAGTAGGAACAGTGCAGGCGCAAATTACGAGTGTGGGTGGTTATACTTCACTCATTCCCCTTGGCGACCGGTGCCACTTTGCATTTGGAAGTTTTAGACGAGTTCATTGGGGGGTAGGTAGGAGTGTTGTTACGGAACAGTATGTCATCGTTGCGGGTAAATTTCGGGCAGTCGAAAAGGGCTTATAAGTGTCGTGTTAGGCCGCGAGGCGTTTTAAATGTTGGTTGGGAGCAGCGGGCCTAGATCGAAGGTTCGCAAGTGTTGCATCAAAAAGTCCATCCACTACACGCCAAGCTTGAGACAGAAATGTCGGAAGGTGGACGCTGGCGTGGCTTGTCTGTGTATGCCCGTTTCTCGGTTAACTGATTTTGTGTATCCTCGAGGTTTAAGCGTCATAGACCTTGGTTGCAGGGCTTGTGCGAGAGGAAGTTGTGTAGAGGCGGACTCGGAAGTGTTGAAGAGGGGAGATGGGGGGGGGGGGGGGGGCACAGACGTCCACTGCGTGGGAAGCTGACGAAGGGTTGACCAATGTTGGCGATATCCTCAGGCGTGATATGGATGGAGCGTAGTGGCACAAAACGGTTCAGCTCACTCCACCTCGTGCCTGATTTGTTCCTTTTCACTTGAGTGGCGTTGCTAGCCCAAAGATATTAATTCTGTCACATGGGGTCACCAGCATAGGATTTACAGGGGTCCATCCTCCAAAGAGTAGAATTGATATCCTTGGGCTATTGACACTAGTGAAGTGCTGAGGATCAAACTGGCCACAAGGTGGCGGCGTGAGTTTGACTGTTAATCCAAATCGTACCGAAGTTTGCCAGCGTTTCTAGCCCTCCAAAACAAAGAAATGAAGTTCTTCTGTCTGTATCTGCGAACCTGGCCCACTCTGTCGCTCGCTACCGGGTACATTTACACCTTATGAGACTTCGAGCTAATATCTCAAACGTTACCTAAAATCACCAGCGGATCCCCACTGAATCGGTTACATACAACACACATCCAACTTGCCCCGCATGATCTCATCACGTGGACAAAAATCATGTCTGAGCCATCCGCAATTTTCGGATTGCGGATTATGCAAATTATTGCTCATCCGATAAATGTCAGCTGAAGGTGGATAGTCCTTTGAGTTCAGCAATGCTAACTTGAGGGTTTATACGGGCTTTGGTTTCCCACACGTGGATCCGGGCCAACCCTTTACGCGAGAATCTGGTACCGTGAAATTGCCGTTCATAAAACGTCATGTCTCTGCATTTACCAATGCGGCCTATAAAGCTAACAATATGGATCAAATCAAATGCTAAATTTTATGAACCCTATATGGTCTCCTCTCAATACCGTAGATAAATGTGTGGTTTTTCGTACGCGGAAAATACATGGCTTGTAGTTTGGAAACCCTGAATGCAAGTGTGACGGCAGATCAGGTTAAAAATTATTCGGGAATTAGAAAAGTCTTGAAGAAGGTGACACGATCGCCGGGACAAGAGCTTTATTAGCCTTGTCCTGGCGATCGTGTCTCCTTCTTCAAGACTACTTCCTGGGACTCGTCTCTTCGCTCCTATTGGCAATTAGAAAAGTCTTTGAAAACCGAATAATACCTTTCCTTCGAGTATAAAATTGAAAGAAGACGTAATTTTCTACCGAATGAGCGAAAGAATGAATATTTTTATGAATGCTTTTCATGAAATATAATTGGACATTTAAGGGCATCGAAAGTCAACGAGAAAAAATCATGCTACTTAAGTAGTAATTTTTTGCAGAGTATAGTTCTTTTATGCAGCCGGCAGGTAGTTCATTCGAAAGCCGACATCCTGAGGCAACTGGATCATTATAGGGTTATGCTGCCTGATGAGTAGTTTTACAACCCAACATAATTAATCTTTTCGAGACGAAAACGCATTTCGGAATTTCGGTTGACATTTCATGCGTTAGCCCACCTACTGTATATGGGCTTTGATCTCCCACACGTGAGATCCGGGCCACCTCTTTACGCGAAAACCTGGCACATTATGTGGGGACCGGGTTGCGTGCGGTACGCGTAGACAGGCTTTTGAGCCACTGTCAGCCGCTGCACCCAATCCCCACATCAGATGACTGATAGGCTTGGGAAGTCAACTTGTGCACCAAAGAGGGGAAGGGGGGGGGAAAGACTGAGGCCGACTCTAGAGACTCCATCGCCACGGCATTTCAGCGCATTCCTTACTGTGATAAATGTGATGTGCTTTGAAAATATTGCGATGCGCTAAAAGCTAATGACTGTCAGGATAACTAACTATTGGTGGTCAGTCCTGCGTGCATGTGTGCGTGGATTGGCTGACTGATGGACTGAGAATCAAGCCGCAATGATTCCTTCTTAGTGTGGCCTCTATCAGACTATTGCTCAGAAGGGATCCGAACAGCTCTTTGTTTCCGTGAAAACCTGGTTCGTTGTGTTAATACCAGGTCATGTGTGGCATGCATAGACGAAATGTTTAACCTTGCTGAAAACTGCGCCCGATCCTACCTCCGGTCGTTCTGGCCCAGAAGGGTGCGGGAGGGACAAGTGCGGTAGATGCTGCGCAAGTCTGCTACTGGTGTAAACTAACTGACTCGCAAGTCGCTGCCCTGCGTCCGCCATGCTGCGGGGCACTCGATGGACATCGTCGTTTACGACGGCCGAACTAACATGAGATCTTCGGCTGAACGTGAAAAATTATCTTGTAGATAGTTCGAAAGGGCTAGAAACCATGTCGCACAATACCGAATGCAGAACTTCTGTCAGTGGTTAGGTGAAAGAACACAAAGGACTTACTAGAGGCAACCAAGGCAGTAGTACAGTAGTAGAAAAGATGCTCGTGTCAAAAATGCTGGCATTCTGACGCTCTCGAGACAAAAGGATATCCCACAAACGCTGTCTTTGAAAATATTTTCCCAATTACCTTTTTGATTGCGTCCTTCCTCATTTACTACATCACTATTAGCGTGTACAGAGGCGTGATACAGATTGAAATTCGCTTTGTGAATGTGTTTTCCAAGAGAACGCATATCCTTCTATTTTGCACTTTGGCGCTGCTTACTAGAATGTAATTGACTGGGTGACGTAAGTTCGGAAGTTCACATTTCCCAGTCTCAGGATGAACGCAAATTAAACTTTCACAAGTTAATTGCCTTTTGCAGTCCCTTCGTGTTACTTTACCACTCTCTGTCATAGCAGTTTTTGGGTGCACATCTGAAGCTTTCAATTTGACGGTCGATCGCATTTCTTGAAACCCTAATAGCCTGTCGATATCGAGGCGATATGCTAATATCGCCGCCTATTAAGATAGGTGCACAGTGTAGGAAGCTCTAGGAAGCCAGACCACGCGCCGCCATCTTGTAGAAGGTTCTAGAAGGCACTCTCCTAAAGGGGCGCGCGCGCCGAACTTTTCCATATTTATACGCCAGGTACTTAGTCGCAATCTGGCTTCCTATAAAAAGCATGCTTATAATAAATTAATACAACCCTAAATCAATCAAAATAGCCCTAACTTAAGTTTGTTTAACTTTCTCCCTTGACCTACCCTCAACCAATCAACAATGGCGGACTCAACCTTGACGCCCTTGGCCCCTGGCGAAGCTATAAATACGGGCGAGGATTAACTTCCGACGACCCCGTGGCAGGCCGCCAACCTTAGGACGTGGGACTTCTGTCGCTGTTTTCGCCGGTTCCCTGTGCCTCCGCCAGCCTCCCTTGGACAATCTCACCTTGCCCCAGTTTATCTTTGTAATTAGGTTTCCCCTTTAGTCTCTTATTGTACATAAGACGGTTGAGTACATAGCAATTGCCAAAGCCATACTTTCATTGGGCCGCCTTTCGTACTGACATCTGTGCTCGTTACAACGGTGCGCTCTCGTTGGCCAGCCGGTTTTTGCACCTCATCCCGACTGACTGGCGGTTTTTTGTGCTGCGTGCACGTCGCGCTAATGGCGCTATGGTGGGCGCACACGTGACTGCTACCGTGACTGTTTCGCTTATTTAGATAAGGTCTCATTCAAAAGTATTGATTAGTTTCGGACGCCACACTCTGAGTGACTTTTTATTATCAGAATTCTGCAGGCCCTGTGAATGGACCGTTTAAATCGTTTGCTAATTATCTTTACAGTTCTTCTGCAAAAACCTGAGGCCAGCCCCATTTCCTGTTCTCGGATGTGGATGAGCGTTTTAGCGGTGGAAACGATGTATAACCCCGATGGAGGTACGGTTTTTCGATAAATTATTTTTTTACATTTTTTCAGTGCCGATTTAAACTGAAAAAGTGCTTCGAATATCGTTGCCAAAGAATTAGTTCTTCAGATTATTTAAACTTATAAAAAGTGAACTCTTATTAATTCTTGAAGTTCCTTCAGAAATAAAATCCACAGTGGATTAAGGGTAGGACAACTAGTTGCAAGAGACCGTCCCGTGCGCTGAAAATATTTACGTGAAAATATGCGGTTGGAAAATGCTCTACCAAAGCAGACTATAGATCTTCTGATCGTCTTCAGATAAACTGGACACCAACAAGGCTGGTGTTTGGCGCATCACACGAAGGCCTCGATAGTTGTATATCTGATAAACTCAGCAAGCCGTCCTCCTGACTTCATTCTAGGTGGGCTGCCGTTGTGGTCGGCGACACACAATATTGATTGTGTGGGCTGCCTCATCTCTCATTTTCTTTCATTTTCCTACAACTTGAAATATTGCTGTTACTCAGCTTTTGACCAGTAAAGAAAACACGACTTTGAAGGTGTCCTGAGTACGGTTCAGATAAAGTCAAGTGGAATAACATTGTCTGACGTTCGAGCCACCATACTGCTTATTTGCTGATGCTTCTGGGAGACCTACTATAGTTTTTTCCATGATTTCGTTGTGGTATGGAAGACTGGTGCCGAGACAGGAAAACGTACGTACTGTTGTATTGTTGCGTTAAGTGAAGTACTTTATCTTCATCACCAATTTGACTTGGCTTAGTAACTTCTTATTTCTTGAAGACCGCGGAGCAAAGCAGTTCTCAGTTGTTTTGCCTCTCAACACTTGTTGGCGAATACTTTTGCTCTCAAGACAGTAATCCTTGCATCATGTTTTTGACCACGAAACTACTGACCGTCTAGGCATAACAAACTGCCACCAAACTGTCGGTTAGTGGCGATGATGGTGTCGATGCTGCCAGTGGAATAGATTGTGAATGCAGAGAGGAAGAGAGAGGGGCGCTGTGCATTTCTTTTTCATCAAGAACCATACTTGCGTGCGGATTGGGAGAGACCGTCGCTCTTTGAGCGCTTACAGACTTGTCTTCGTCCTCACCGGTCGCTGCGTCTCCCCTCTAGTCATCTTGGCACTGTTTTATCACGGCAGAGTGATGGGTGCAGGAAGAGAGCGTGGGCTAAACGCGACGCACTAGCGTGTCATCATCGACTGCTCGAGCAGTTGCACTGCCTTTCCAAAGAACTAAAGGTTGGGCACGAGAATATGAACCGTCGTATTACAGGTAGCTTTGCTCTAACTTCCAGGAGGCATGGGTAGAGGAATAGGGACCCCTATGGAATTTAGCGCGAGGCCATATGTGGAAGGAGAGTGGAGAGGGCGTCCGTATTCCCATGCCCGATAGAGCCGTGCAGTTATAGGAATGCCGCTTGAGGCAGAGGTGACAGTGAGACTAAAGGGACTGAAACGTGTACTTGCGTGTAAGCCGAAAGGAGCATTCATTTTCATATTGTTCAACTGTTTTCGCATATTTATTTTCTCCCTCTAGAGATAAAATGTCCGAAAAAACTGGAATACTGTTACTTTGTGAGCGCGCGCAACCTGACTTACAGCCAGGGCGAGAAGTTATGTCGGAGGTATGGCATGAAAATAACTCGTATTAAAAACCACCAGGAGAATGTGAGTCAAACTTCAGCACCCTGCCTTTCCTGTCTCATTTATCTCGCTGGTGGTATTAATTATTTTTGTACAGCTGCACCTGAACGACGTCTGTAATAGTAGTTTCTACCTGCTCGCCCGGTTAGATGGCGATTTTTACTCCAATGAGGGCGAACCATTGGATTTTGAGTGAGCTTTCACCAATTGTTGAGAAATGAAATTCTTTAGGCACTGGACATGTGATGCATTTGACATCCTCGGACCCTGCACTAAAAGGCTGAACAACGGGCAAATGACGACCAATGATTGCGAAGAAAAGTTGCCGATAGTTTGCGACCTGTACTAATTGACCCATCCCCCTTTGGAAATCTAATAAATTATCCGTGAATTTCTGAGTGCCTATTTTATTGGCTGATATCTGCGCGCACGGAGAGTCGATCTGTTAGTCGACCGAGGGGCAACTGTTTTTAACCGAGTGAGGAAAACGCTCCTATGCATAAAAATTTCTTAATAAAAATTATGAAATTATGAATGACTATAATCTGGTGTCATATCGCGTAGTTTTTTTTTACTCGTGTTTGAGGAGGTTTTGATCTCTACCGGTTGAATCAGCTCCCACTACAACGTTGGCAAGGACTCACCATTGAAGACACTTCCAGTAGTAAGGATTAAGTATATGAGCGGGGTAAGGAAAAACTATGAAGAACTGCCTACCATATCTTTCAAAGAAGGTGTGCTTCTGCAGAGTTTGGCTGGCCCTTCGTCGGCAGAATGACATTCGCTGACCTGTACCACCCCTCGGAGCCGGCACTGCCGAGGTGTCTACATTGGTTTATTGTTCAGCACACCCACACGTAATTCTTTAGTAAAAGTGAAGCTCAATTTAAAAAAAGTTAGGCGCAGTCTGGTAGTAACAAATATCCGAAATATTAATAGATGGAAGGCATACGTCCCCCAGTAAAGCAGGAGTAATAAAATACTGGTGAATTTGTTAAACAATAATTGACACTTTCTTATCTCGCGCGTATACTCAATCGTGCCCTTCTGTTGCAGCGACCAAAGATCGTAGACCGGGGATTTGAACATTCCCTTCAGGTCCTCTCTCGCAAGGTATGCGGTTGTGCGGCATTTCAACCTAGTAAAAGTGAGAGAGGACGAAGTCCAGCGATGCGTTATGGTCTGGTGAACGGTGGATTGCGTACTCACACCAGCTGATAGGTTAGAATGGAGAACTGAGTACCATCTGGTTTAGACAGAGGCGTAGATGGTCCACTCACATTATACGGTTCTGAGGACATGGAATATTTCCAAATGGTTGAAAATTTCTGCCTCAGACACACCCACATGCCAGGGCTTGCAACCTTCACAGAACTCTGTAAATCCGCCTTGTTAAGGTAGAAAATTCTGTCAGGATTGATATTTACTCACATGTGCAGACTATTTGCAAAGTCAGGGCATAGTACTAAAAAATAAGAGAATTGGTGTCTAAAAGTTGGGAAAACTTTTGTTAAATATATTTCGATGCGACGAGACTTCTCTTGTCCGCGTCTGTCGTTTGGCGTGGCATAATGAATTGAGTAGGGGCGTAGTTATGATTTTTTGAGTCAAAATGGCAAAAAAAGGCAATAAACCGTAAGGTAAGAGTGAGTTAGGTTGAGCATATTAAAAGTCAGTGGAACAAAAGCGAAAAACGCTCCTAACAGCTTCAAACTAAATTCGAGTTAAGAACTTTAATTGCTTCACTTCTTTGAATGCAGATACTTGCGACGCAGTGGGCCCCCCAGTCACCACGGGAAACTGTTCACAGCAGTCTTTATTCTTCCCTTTTTTCCTAAGCAGTCCAACTGGAATTTTGACAGCGATTTTGGCTAGTCCTACCTGGAATCAAGAACCGGTCTCAGAATCTGACGAGAACAGCATCTGCCTGCCTCCAGTGAACGTTGTTCGCATCCGAATTTATTTAGCCGGCCGTTTAACGCAGCTGACATTGCTCTAACCACTCTTCCTCCCTCAGCTCTCTCACGGCCTCTTATTCCTTCCCAGCGGCAAGAGTGGGAATGTTATTCTCCACTAACCCTATTGTACGCGGAGAAGGTAGGGGTAGGTTGCCCTCTCAGACCACTTGCATGTGCATGCACCCCTTCACTTGCCTCTGTGGAACAGGTTATATTAGTCGCACTGGTTGGCGCCTATCCAAAAGAATATGTGAACACTCCCGCCATGATTGTGGAAAAGCCAAATTAAATGCATACACAATGCCATTGTCACACACATTGTTGATTCCGGCCATCGTGTGGACCCCAACGCAGCCTTCTGTGTGATTTACACAATCCAGCCGAATTACCCCAAGCCACTGGGTCAGCATCTGCTAGCAACAACAGAGGCGACTGTCATCAGATTACGAAAACCGGTATTGTGAGCACAGAAGAGCCTGGTACAAGCTCCACGACTACCGTGGCCAGAGGTCGGCTGCTGGCGGGACTAGAGATTGAACCCCAATTCACAACGGGACGAACGAGTCCCGTAACGCGATCGGTGAACGCCTCTCTGCCATTGTGGTCGATTTCTCTTATCACTCGCATGCTTTACCTGAACCCCATTCCCATCGAAATTTACTGGCCCAATTAGAATTCCTAGAAAGCACACGTATGCTCGCCAATTAGTCGCCTGAGTTCTTTCATGAGAATTTTCGTCACTCTATGGCTAGCTTTGCAAAAAGCTCATGCTTGGCCCATGCTCCATCAGCATCAAGTCCCAAAACAGGTGTTCCTATTTTTTGGGACCTAGACATATGTGTTTGCAGCCAACGAGAGACGGAGGCGAAGTGCCCTGTCAGCCGTTGCGCTGATTTCAAGTCTGGTCGGGTCAACTCATTCTTGACACTGGTATATGATGACAGAGGGAGGACAGAATGAAACTGCTCCTACTCACGTATTTGGTAGGAAAATTTAACGCCTAGGCACATCACCACTCCTCCCCACAAGGTGGTGGCGGTTCTCGTAGACTTGAACAGACGAATTGCCGTGCTGTCAGCTAGGAATATTCTAAGTCAGATAGGCGGTTTGCCTTGGTTTGTTGCTTCGGTTCCCCTAGTGATACAAAGTTGCCTTCCTGATTTTCTTTTGCTGAGTCAAGGCAGTCAGTTGTGGAAAAGTGACGGCATGTCGCGGGTGCTCTATGCGCATTTGTCCACGCCTATTCACTGTGGTAAACAAACTACTGTCAGTAAAGATTGTTACTGCATTTTATGGCAAAAAAGTCACAGTATTGTAAAATATGGGCAGAATAGCATTACCAACAAACGCAAGAGAGGCTGGAATGGCCATTTCTGGCGTACTTGCTGTCGTAAGCCAGTCATGCCCAAACCCGGAGTGTGGAACACATGGGGCTCGATCACACGACCTGTTACTTAGAAGTCTAACGTCTCTAACTACTGAGCCACAGGCCCGTTGTCCTGTCGGTTTCGATTCGGAATATACAATTGTAGAGGGGCGCTTACTGATCGTTTTACGGAACCCACTCGGCCCGTCCTACCTTAGGGCTCTCTCTCTCTCTCTCTCTCTCTCTCTCTCTCTCTCGCGAGCCGTCCTCCTAGGTGTGCATGACGATTTCCAACAACGGCCAGTTTGTGCTCGAGTATTCGTGAACCGAGGCGTGGCACTATCTGACCTGTAAAATGGCAGGGCCAGTCGCGGCATGGGGTTTGATAAACTACGCTCGAATACTCACCTGCGTTCAGATGGTCCCTCATCTAGATGACTCTGGTACGCATGGCAGCCGCCGAGCGATGTGTAATACTCATGCCAAACTCTGTTACAGGGCGTTGTGTTGCATCTGTATATTTTTTATATACGGTTGAGGGTGTCACAGTGTTGGTGGCTCTCTCCTATCAGTCCTTTGTGGGGGCGTACGGAGACAACAGCTTGTGAAGCTGTCTAGCTAGCAGTTCCTCGCTTATTATTCTTCTGCTCCGGTTCCCCTAGTGATACAAAGTTGCCTTCCTGATTTTCTTTTGTTGAGTCAAGGCAGTCAGTTGCGAAATCCCCGAGAGTGTGGTCAAACCTCCTTCCGTACAGCTCAAGGAGCCCAGGTTGGATTGGATCTGTCTTAGAAAGGTAGCCACCTAAACTTTGTCCCTCGACAATGCTTCCTACGAACAGTAACGAACAGTCACAGTATATATGCTCCAACATATAAGCTGAGCTGTAGATGAGTAGATCGGGAGGTCATAAGTTCACTACAACGAAATGAAAAAGAGAGACAGCAAGTCCGAGGCCTCTGCGATTAATTCCTACCGAATGGCGATTATAGGGCCATTACAAACCGGAACTTTGTGTTCTACCTTAGAAATACGGCAAGAATTAAGTATATGCGCGGGGTAAGAAAGAACTATAAAGAGCTTCCTATGGTGCTTTTAAAAGTATGTGTAGTTCGGTAGAGTTTTCGGTCTGCCGTTCATCAGCAGGATGACGTCTGCTGACCTGTACCGCCCCGAGGAGTTGGTGCTGCTGAAATGTCTACATTGGTTCATTGCTCTGCGCTCCCAGCACGGAATTCCTTAGTAAGAGAAAAGCAGTCGGGCTCTAAAAATGCTCGAAGCAGCGTTCGATGGAATGTATACGTCTGCCAGTAAAACAGGAGTGCTAAGACGCAGGGGAATTTGTTTAACAACGGTTAGCATTTCCTTACCCCGTGCAACTTCATGAAATCGAAATTCATTCAGAAAATGGATGCAAGGAAGGATAGCCCAGAACTTGTGATTCAACGGTCAGAGGTTCAAGCAGGTATGCATTACGTAAGATTGATGCGTCCGTGGGATTCCAGGTCGAAGGCCATGGCAACTGCTCCAGTCGGTTTTTCAGGCACTCTAAAGAGGGTAAGCAATCGAAAAACAGACTCTTCTCCCTCCCCTTCCTCCTCAAGCTCCTGACAGAACCAACTGTATGAACGCCCTCAGCCACCTCCCCCATAAATACTCTTCATTTGTCGTTTTAACTGTCAATGTTTTGCCCTAACGTAGGCAACTTTAAAGGCCTGAGGATGGATTATTGAAAACGTACGCTCCCGTATGTAAAATCTGTTTAATATTTACAAACAGATTTGTATTTGGTAGAGAGACGCTCACTGAACGTTTTACCGTACTCACTCGTGCCGTTAGGTCTTAGGGTTGTCTCTTGAGCCCAACCAGCAGCCGTACAACGGCTCGTAATATAGGTAGAATGGCATTACCGACAAGGCAAGGGAGACTGGAATGGCCATTTCTGGTTTATTAGCGGTCGTCATTCAGCCATCCCCAACCCCGTAGTGTGGAACACCTGGGGCTCGATCACACGACCTGTTTGTTAA